AAATATTTTTAAAATTGAAATCGGTATTAAAAACGGGCTCCGAAACACAAAAATGGGGTTAAAAAGCTAATTAGGCCGCGTTGGCCACTAGAAAATTAATCTGCTACAGGCTGGGCTTCAATGTTTGAGCACAATTGGGCTTGGCACCCAAAATTGGGCCGCAGGAGGGCCTGGTCAGCAGTTGGAGGGCGCGGGCCGAACACTGGGCCGGGACCGGGTTCGCGCGGGCTGTGGTAGCAGACTGGTTGCGGGCCGCGCGCGGGCTGATTCCGGGCCTAACGGCCCGCGCGCTTGGGCTACACTTAAATAAAAAAAATACTGCAGGGGCTGGGGTTCGAGCTCGTGACCACGAGTAAGAAGAGTGCGCAGACAACCACTGCATCACTCGATCGGTTGTTTATTTGAGTGAAAATAAATAATAATGAAGTTTAAAAATAATAAGTCCTGAGAGCAACAGAAAGTGGGCTAAATCACAAAAGCTGTTAAGTGAAAACAACACAAGAGTTGAAATTCGGCGACCGGATTTGACGACGGCACATCTAATGGCAACGGAATTCAAGAGATTATCAACAATCGCATATTTTCCGAGTTCCGAAATATATTTTTAACAACGGTTTTGGCTCGAAAACGGAACAACCAAACATAAAAGCATAATGAACGACCGGAGTTCGAACGACCCGAACAACCTAACGACGGCTCGAAATAACGAAACGAGACTCTGAATTTATACACATTTAACACAACAACATCAGGATATACGATTTTATGAGATCGAGAGTTCCAATTATCCCCGGATAATCCACGCATGAACGGAATATACATATTAACAATTAAATGAACCAAAAACAATCCGATTTCAAATCAACTTTCGGTAAACCGAACACATCATATATATAACGTGTGATATATGAAAACGACCGTATTAACGTGAGGATTAGAATAAGTTACCCGACTTTGGGAAACTACGAATTATTGAACGGGAAACGGGCCCGACAGCGGGTCGGACAATCGGCTTCGGGACTCGGAATCTTGAACCTGGTGTTGTTCGTGAACGACCTGGCCACGAACAGAGGCTCTCCACGACCTGCTGCTGCGCGATTGAGAGGACGCCGCCGAGGATGGGAGGAACTCGCCGGAGACAAAGCTGGTTGCCAGAAATTGAAGCTCTCGGCTATGGAGGATGGCGACTGGACAGGACCCCTCCTTGACGACGGTTGCTCCTTGCTGATCGAAAACGGAAGGCTGCCACTTCAAGAACGGCGGTCGACGACTTGCCCGCCGGAGAAGAAAGGTGCGGCGGTGATTTTTTTTTTTTTAAAAAAAATAGAGAGATCGAGAGATGATGTTTTAATGATTCTGAGGTGCGATCGAGTCTTAAGAAGACGATGAGAACGTGCAGGCCGTTGGAGGAGGAATCCACGGGTAAATCGGACCTGAATTTTGAACGTGAAGATAAGGGAGGAAGACTTGGTTCGCGCGGTTGGGAAGGAGAAGGGATCTGCGGGCTCTTCATTTATTTGGGCCAGATTTCTTGTTGGGCTAAAGGAATTAAATGAAATTTGGGCCAAGGACATTTATCTCTTAATGGTCCAAGAAATAAACACAAAAGGCCCAAAATTGTTAAACCACAAATGAAGCTGGAAAATAATCTCGATTGGGTCGGAATAACGCGATAATAAGAATTAAAAAATAGAACCGGTCATAATATACATATATATATATTATACAATACACACAATAATATTATTAATAATAATAGGCGTTTAAAACAATTAGACATTTAGAGACAATAATAAATATTTACTAATAATAATAATAATAATAATAATAATAATAATAATAATAATAATAATAATAATAATAATAATAATAACAATAATAATAATAATAATAATAAAATAATAATAATAATAATAATAATAATAATATGTAATACCCCATTTTATCGTGGATTAATTGGAAATAAATATTGATTATTGTTATTATTAATTTCCTTATTATTATTATTATTATTATTATTACTATTATTATTATTATTATTATTATTATTATTATTATTATTATTATTATTATTATTATTATTTGTTATGAACATCACTGAAAAAGAAGAAGAATTGCAAATGTCGATTGATGAGGAGGTGGTGAGCAAAATGGCGTTTGAAGGGTTTGGAGGCGATAAGGCTATGTCTGAAGATGAAGTGAATTGGGAAAGTGGAGGAGAGAATGACATCTGTCGCAATCTCGTGAGAGCTGAAGACTAAATCTGAACCGCACACGTGTTGCCCATTTATCTGTTTATTTTCATGAGTTAATTATGTAGTTTTCTTTATTTTTTCCTTATTTTTCAGCAATTGGGATTTATGTATTTTGGGCCCACAGTTTGTTATTTAAGTGGGAACATGCAAATGAATGAGCACGTTTATGCAACAGAAAATATTCTCTTTCTCTCTCTTCCCTCCTTTCTCTCTCTATCACTCACTCTTCCTCCCTTTCTTCTTCTCAAATCCTCCATTAAAATACAGAAAATTGTATGAAATCCTAACCAAATTACATCTCAACTAAGCTAGATCATTACAGTTGGTATCCAGAGCCACAGCATCCTCGGAACATGGCTGAAAACACACGCTTGAAAGACCAGCTAGAAAACCAGAAACGGATAGATCAATTACTCCAAACAGAAGTTCTTAAACGAGAAGCTTCAGAGCTAAAATTGAAGGAGCAGGTGGACAGCATAGGATTGTTGATGAA